AGCTTGTATGAGAGCCAGTTATGCCACTCCAGGTTCCTTGAAGATGGGAGTCTGATACGCATTTAGAGATGCCAACTATGTGCTGGGAATTTCCTGGAGATTTGGGGGTGGAACCTGGGGAGGGCTGGGTTAGGGAAGAGGAAAGACCTCAGTGCGGTAGAATGCCATAGACTCCACCCTCCAAAGTAGCCATTTTCTGCAGGGGAACTCATCTACCTTTGTCTGGAGATCAGTTATAATTTTGGGACATCTCCAGTCTGTACCTGGAGGTTGGCAACCCTATCCAACTTTAATAAATCCCTGTTTTCTATGGTTCAAGCAGGTGGACTAGGCAACTGAGATAAAATCCAGCTTCTCCAGTGTTTCCAAAAATTTCTGAGTAACAAACAAAAAAAGCAACATTTTTCAAACGTTGTTTTCTATTTGTGCCTTAGCAATGATATCTGAGGACATTTTATACCGCAATTCATGAAATGCAAGGGTGGTTGGGTGTGGGACTCGCTGGTATGAAGGACCAGCACCTTTGTGGGGGAAGGGGCTCTCCCAAGTGCTGAGGGGGGAATTGGTGGAAATTGATGCAACCTTATATATGAGTAGTCGCACCAAAAAAGCACTAATGAAATGTAATACCTATTACCATGTATTATTTATAGCTATTATTTCAATACTCATTTCTGTAAAGTAAGTGTTCCTCTTTGAAATTGGGATCATACTGCTGTGTTTCATAATGGTAAAGTACGCCATCAAGTTGCAACCAATTTATGGTGACACTATGAAGATCCACCTCAAGCAGTTTTCAAGGCAAGAGATAAGCAGACTGTTGTTTGCTGTTGCTTTCCTCTGCATTGCAGCCCACTCTTCTTTGGTGGCCTCCCATCCAAGTATTGATCCTGCATAGCTTCCAAGCTCTGATGAGATTGGGCTAGCCTAGGTTTTTAGGGCTGCTACTGTATTTTAAAGTAAGTGCTAAAAAGGTTTAGTTATAACAAGTGGGCACTCACGACAAAATGTTGCATACTGTGGCTATGGAAGAAGAAGAAGAGAAGAGATTGGATTTATACCCCACTCTTCACTCAGAGTCTCAGAGCGGCTTACAAACTCCTTTCCCTTCCCCTCCCCACAACCAACACCCTGTGAGGTAGGTGGGGCTGAGAGAGCTCTGACAGAAACTGCTCTTTTTCAAGAACAGCTGTGCCAGAACTATGGCTTGCCCAAGGTCATCCAACAGGTGCAAGTGGAGGAGTGGGGAATCAAACCCAGTTCTCCCAGATTAGAGTCTGCGCACTTAACCACTACACCAAACTGGCTCTCTCACCAGACATGGCAGGGAGGCTCCTACTCACCCCTGCATCTATAGCCGCCACCTCAGTTGTCCTCTTTAAACTTTGCCGGCTTAACTGGTGTCAGACTCCCAGTGAACCACTCTTAACACAGTCTTTTGTTTGAAAGTTTATTGTAAAGATTTGGCTAACTGTAGAGACTAACGTTTTTGTCAGAACTGGCGAGGCCAGGCCTGGACATAGGGGTTAAAGATGAGATCCCACCTTCCAGGCATATGTCATTCAGGTCAGCGTTACTAACGGTCATGAAAGATATACAACCAAACTATTGAAGCTCCAAAGTCTTATCTCTCCCAAGGCTGGTTCTCATGTGAAAAACCTGAGAACTGTTTGGGAGCTGCTTGAGGATGAATTACAGTGGCACATCCCTACCTACTAGCATTCACACTTACTCCCCCCCCCCTAGGAATTACATGTCAGCGAGGGAAAGATAAGGGCAGAGAGCCAAATGTGCCTAACGAGCAGAAATACAGAAGCAAAAGTAAGCGTTAGCAATACAATGACAATAAATCCAAGGCCCGAGTCTGACAACCAGTGAGTGGCAGCAAAGAATCCTCCTTGCCACACCTCCAGCACCAATCTCTCCCAGTCTGGCTGGTATTAGAATATACAATATTAGAATATACAAGTGGGCCGCCCACGAGACTCATGGGGGGGGAGAATACCATCTCTCTCCATCACTGAGCCCAACACAGCTCCAGGCACTACCACCCACCTTTGATACTGGCCACAGTTATGGCACTGCCTGGGAACCACTTCAAGGCTGGAGTGGCCCACAGTGTCCACTGCCACAGCTGAGCTTGGAACAGCTTCTGGCTTTGCCCGCCTCTGCCACAGCCAGGCCCAGAGTGGTTCCTGGTAATTGCCTCTGCCATGGTTGAGCCCAGACAGACTCCCAGCATCTGCTGCTGCCAGTCCCAGAGAAGCCACCAGCTAAACAGAAGTAAGGTAAGTGTGTTGTCTGCATGTGCACAGACAATGCTCTTTTGTGTTTTTTTTTGGGGGGGGGGAGTTAAACCCATTAAAGTATTTTTTTTAAGATTTCAGATCTTTCTAAAAATCTGGGGAGGGTTTTCCCCCAAGTACGCAGGAAAATCTATTTAGTGTCTACATGGCCCTAATCTGCAGATTTACATATTTACAGATGGGGACCCATGTCACTATTAATTATATAGATGATTATGAAAGATTGTGTATATTGGACAGAAGCACATAATTAGTTTTTAAGCAAGTGGAACCAAGCACTATTTGTTACTTTAGCCAGGTGGGAAAACCACCAATATCAATAGCAGATTTACTACATTACCAACCCAAATATACGTAACAAAGTAATGAACCATTTGTGCCCTGGTCACATGAGTGTTCACAAACCCCTTCTGATTTTGAAGGAGGAGCAATTCTCTCGTATAAAATGCTTTACTTCAAACAGAAATGTTTGATCTCAAGCCAAGAGGTGAATAATGGGACAGAGTAGGATCTCTTCCATTATAAAATTAGAGCAAGAGTTTCTAAAAATACAAAACCTTTCATGGGATTTTAAGACCTGGCAAGGGTGCATCAAAAAAGGAGCAGGACTTAAGGCAAAACTGTCTTCAGGACATGAATCAGGAAGTCCAGTTTGGTGTAGTGATTAAGTGTGCGGACTCTAATCTGGGAGAACCGGGTTTGATTCCCCACTCCTCCACTTGCACCTGCTGATGTGACCTTAAGTCAGTCACAAGCTCTGGCACAGCTGTCCTTGAAAAAGAGCAGTTTGTGGCAGAGTTCTCTCAGCTCTACCCACCTCACAGGGTGTCTGTTGTGGGGAGGGGAAGGGAAAGGAGTTTGTAAGCCGCTCTGAGACTCCAAGTGAAGGGCGGGGTATAAATCCAATATCTTCTTCTTCTTCTTCTTCTCTTAAAGAACCAGGGGCTCCTTTCTTATTACTAGTGTTGTTCGGGACTTAAAAGTCTCCTTAAGATTCTGTGTCTTGTGGCCTTTTTAAAAAGTGGCATCAGGAGTACAGCAGTGACAATTAAAGGGCAGTCCTGTCTTCAAGTATGCGGCATTTAACTGTAGCAATGGTTAAGTGGACAATATTCTTAGGAAATCGTAGACTGGATTTTCCATCACTAGAACTGTTTTTTTTTTTTTTTAAACCACATACCACTTCTTACTGGTGGTCAATGAAAGTCAGAAGGCATTATGCAGATTTATTCAGGCATCCATAAACCTTGTCATGGCTTTTATATATATTTTAACTGAATGTCCACATTGTTCATTATTCCAATGAAAAAAAATTGTTCAAGTTCATGGAGAAGCCAAATGCGGATACAGGAAAACATCCTCTTTTACCCCTAAAGCACTAACCGCATAGTGGCAACAGGAACTACATGGATCCTTACTCAAATACAGAACAGCCGCCACATTTTGGCATGTATTTTCAAATGCTGTGGGAAATGCACAAATGTAATACTTTGTTATATTTTGAAAGTATTAACTCTCCTAACTTACATTCTCCCTCCAAAAACCATATTAAAAGCTTACATCTAGGATCAACCGAGATCCACCCTCTGCTATTTCATGTTCCTATCAAAAAGGTTAAGGAATGAACAATCTTTATAATGGAAAAAAATGTCATTTCTAACATTTGGCAAATGTAGCTTACCATAACATCAAATAATCCTCAAGGAGCCGATAAATGTATATTTCACAACATATTTCCCCTCAGCAGCTTATTGCCTGAGCAAATTTGCTGGTTACCCAGATTTCCTCTCCTGCCATGATTCATCCTTGAAATGGCTCCAGTTTTCCTTATACTATGAACAATATAGTAACAAGCATCAGATATATTATTTTCACAGAACTGGTCATCTTATATAGGTCATTGTGAAGCCCAGCCAGGCTGGTCTCCAGCTGCAAGTCAGCACTAGGCAAGGCACTGAGGAAATTAGCCAGAGAGAGCTAGAGTGCATAGTGGTTAGAATGGTGGACTGGGATATGGAAGACCCAGGTTCAAATCCCCACTCTGCCACAGAAACTCACTAGGTGACCTTGGGCCAGTCACTCTCTCAGCCTATCTACTTCAAATGGTTACTGTAAGGCCATGACCTTACAATAGCCCGATCTCATCAGATCTCAGAAGCTAAGCAGAGCCAACCAAGGCAAGTAATTTGAAGGGAGACCTCCAAGGAATACAAGGGTTCGGGATGCAGAGGCAGGCAATAGTAAACCACCCCTGTGAAACATCCAAACCCCACTAGGGGTTACCAGAAGTCACCATGACTTCCAGACACGCAAGTACACACACACACACATACACAGAAAAAAAGGTAAGGATAAAATTAAGGAGAAGAGAACAAAGTAAGCCACTTTGCATCCCTATGAGAGAGAATTATGGGTGTAAATTGCTAAATAAACCAGTGAATACTCCAAGAATTAAGTACACAGAGAATTGATACTACAAAGCAATGTTTATATCATGTTTATAACAAGAATCAGCACTGCATAAAGACTACTGGAATATAAATAAGCTATCCTTTCAATTTCCTCTCTAAATGTTACATCCTTATTATACTAAAAATGGAGAGTCTAATTTTTCCGGGGGGGAAATTCTGGAAAAACTATTCCTTTTTCTTATTATGCACACACAAAATGAGAAGGCCCGTCAACATCTCCTACCTGTTGCATGGGTCTGTTGCTTCGTTTCTGAGGTTGGTATGTAAGCCATGTATACAAGACTGGATCAACGTTGATTGTTAATCCTTGCATGTTCGCTAAAAGCACAGCTCCTGTATAATGACAGCAACAACAAATTTACAAACTGTACAAATTACACAATGGCTGAAAATATTTTCAGTGTATATACGAACTGGTGTAGGTTCCATGATGGTGGCATCTCTAGCATCACAAACAGCACTATGTCCACTATGTCAGTGAAGCCTGGCAGCAAGGCTTGAAGCCATGCAGCAGTGCAGTTGTGAGACACTTGCGTGGAGACCTCCATGATGTCTGAAATGGCCCTTCATGCTCCCAAGTGTACATTAATGTGATAATCTAAATTTTGGCATTGAAATGTGTGAATGAGAACATAATGTGACATAGATTCTACTTTAAAGAGAGGGGGGAGAGCCAAAATAAGTTAGCCTTTAAAGGAATGAGGCTATTCAGGAGTTAGATTAGTGGAAGAGAGGTCCTCTGTGGCTAATAGTCATGGCTACTAAAGGGAACATTTACTTTCAGAGGAAGTAAACTTCTGAATACCAGTGCCGGGAGGTAACATCAGGGGAGGGCCTTAGCCTCTATGTCCTGTTTGTTGGCCCTCTAGGGCAACTGGTTGGCCACTGTGTGAGACACGATGCTGGACTAGGTGGGTCAGTGGTCTAATCCAGCAGGGCTCTAGGTTAACAATAGGTTGCAGGGTTAATACTCCCATACATTCAGAGATCATCATACATCTCCTCCTCTAAGCCTACCGTCCTGAGCAACTCCTTTCTTCTCCAGATATTGCTGAGGGAAATGCTGTTGGTGTTTTCCTTTCTCTAATCCTTCCACATGTCAACTTGACTCCTGTTAAGCAAATCACTTATATCCCTCCCGCAACTCATATCATCAGATTATTACATGTATTGCCAACCAAGCAAGGGATACATGAATGAATACAGATGTATGGCCTTCACATGTGTACTTTTTTGACACTGGTTTTGGGATTCTAACTACATGGACGTACAAGAGAGAGAGAGAATAAATGACTAAAGCAGTGTTTATTGAGTACCATAAGAGAAAGAGGGAGAGAGTATGCATGCACAGCTGGGATGAAAGAGAGTGGGTGGGGTTAGGTGAGGTTGACGCCTGATGATGATGCCTGAGCCTTAATTATGAGCGTAGCTGAGTCACAGTGGTGTAACAAAAATCTAAAGGTAAAACCTAAAATGGTGGACTAAAAGCCCCACCCCACCTCAAACCCACACCCTTTCCTTTCAGTGGCTGCAACAAGTTTTCTCCCCCTTAAGTTATTCCAGGGAAGAATGTATGAACAGGCAATGAACTTACCCTCATTGACTTGATTACTATATTTGTCACGGGTTGTATTATTCTGGATATTTCCCAAGTAGAGTGGAATCTTCAGCTATTGCCCCACAAGCACATTTTATTCTAAGTGGATTTGCTATAAATCAAATTGCCTACAGGACTCAAGTGAACCCAAGACTAAGAATGAATACCTGTATAATTCTTCCCAACAGTGGGTTATGGACCTGTGTCTGCAACTCCCAGTGATTAAAAAAAAAATTATCAGACAGGGGACCCAGTTTGAATCAGAACTACAGACAAGGGGAGGCACGGTTTAAATCTCCTCACTGTACTATGTTCCCTATCTGAAACAGTGCCAGGGAGCCACTATTTGCCCTGGATGTGCATTCTGGTGGGGAAACTAGTTTTTAAAAAGCCATGTATTTGGGAGGTTTACTTAAACCCTCTCTCCCCTTACATCACTATCCTTGTCTGAATTGGGCCTCCATGCACCTGATAACTGAGATTTTTAAAAGAATATTTATCCAGACCTTCCTACTGAGACCAATAAATTAAGTTTCTGTTAATAGTAACAGATGTTGATAAGTTTGTCTTTTAAAGAGAAAACTAGCAACAATGATACTGATTATAATAGGCACAAGATCTCAGACTTAGCTGACATACACACTAGATATAACACCGCAATATGAATAAAGTAACTGCTGTTGCATGTGTTTGCCTTATTCTGCATTAAGAGATTTTGAAGTGAACTGCTACAGGAATTGTATCAAAAGACATTCAAATTCAAAGGAATGCAAGGAAATCAAAGCCAAACTGAAAAATAGCAGACTTGATATATCCTTTTGGTGGAATCACCAAACTCATGAAACAACAGCTAGAAGTAGAAATATGGAGATAGAACCTTGAAAAAAATTGTTGCAAACACTTGAAAACAGGTCATTGTGATGTAGAAGTATACAGATACAAGCCAAGACTTTCTGACAAGAAACATCTAAATATAGGCCCTACCAGACTTACGGGGGCAAGGAGGATACAACGGAGGCTGAAGACAAGATTCAAATGACAAATCCATTCCCTTGGAGAATATGGCAGCTTTGAAGGGTAGACTCTATGGCATTATATCCTGCTTAGGTCCCTCCTCTCTCTAAACTCCACCCTCTGCAGGCTCCGCCCACAAATCCCCTGGAATTTCCCAGCCTAACACTGGCAACCCTAGGGCACACACAAATGGGGGAGGGGGGGGAGACTGGCTTGGCTTTCTTCATTCAGAAGGAATTACTGCACACAATGTTGAACACAAATTACTAAAAGATAAGTCCCAATGAAATTAATTTGATTTATTGAGAATGATTAAATCTATTAAGAATGAATCTCTCAAGATATTTCAATTATTATAATCATTTCTAGAAAGTAAATGGCTTTTGTTTTTTAAAATTGTTCAATATAACACCTGTCTCCAAAATTCTTCTGTAAATTTATGAAGTGACCCTGTTACCAGTAGAGCCAATGGAATCTTTTTACTAGCTGCTTGGCAGAGCAGGATCAGCTCTTCAGCTTTGGTATTTTAATTGAATTAGATACTATGTAACCATGACCTAGAACGCTTTTATGTTTTAATCTTTTGATGTGGCATTCCCATGAAAACTTCTATGAAGGTCTTGCATTGCTCTCAGTAATATATGTGTTTTGGTAGCCAGTGCTGATATTAAATACACTTGCTAGTTTGGTTTTATAGGAAGCATGTAGAACAACCTTATTTTCAAGTTGAATTATTCTGATGAATTGATATCCTGCATATTCATGGCTTCAAAAACAAAAGTAAAAGTAATGATAATACAGATAACTATACCACTGCACTGGAAAGCTAATAAGAGAGGGAAATATTCAACATCCTACCCTTGGCTCTTGTGCAAGGCAAATATTTAGATATCCCTTATTTCCAATTTTTGTGTTTTTGCCAACTGACCACAGCTAAAACAGTTGAAGATGTGTTACTTCACTGTTCACTTTAGAAGGATATTCATTCCTTATACATTACTCCAATTTTAACCAAGTTTCCAAGCAGATCTGATAAATTCTATATATCTTTTCTTCTTGCAGACTGCTTTAATGAAACCCCCTTTAAGATGGCCTGAATCTTGTTCTTTGGCTCAATCAGTAAGGATGCAGATGTATCAATCTTTTGATTAACTACTTTGTATTATTGAAATTAATGTTTAGTAAGATTAAGAATGTTTTAAATTGCATGTTTTATTGCAAGTAACTCCTATCTCCTATCAAGAACAACATCAGGACTATCCTCTCTGATAGAGGTTTTTGTCTCTTACTGTCTGGAAGAACACCTGATAGTTATTTATCAACAATCCAAGGTCATTGCTTTTGCACAAAAATCTCATTTATACCACAAGTGGAAAATTCATGGTAATGATATTGAGGAGGTCTCCTATTTTAAATACTTAGGGGTTCGGTTCGACCAGAGATTAACTTGGTCAGTGCAAGCTGCTCATGTTAAAAGATTGGCTACAGTGGCATCAAATATTATCTGTCATTTCTTTTATTCATCTGGGCCTCAGTATATCCCAGCCGCCATCATACTGTTCAACACCAAGGTGGCTGCACAAAGTTCATAGGGAGCTGGTTATCTGGATTGATAAAACAGGGGAGTCCTTGGATTCATTCTTCTTAAATTCCTATGTTCCATCTCCAGAATTCCGAAATGTGTAGCAGCACTGGCCCTCTGAGTTGAATTGGGACAACCATCTCTTGAAGCTCAGGCTTGGTTGAAGGCTTTCCCCCTTAAAAGTTAAAATTATACATTCCAACACCAAAGAGGGCTACCTCGGCTTTGTCAGAGAGGATTCTTATGTTTCCCATTGGGATAAACTTTCTGAGCAATGACTTCAGCTGCTCAGTCATTCTTTGGACTTCCTTCATTCAGTTACCAGACAAGAAGCTATGAGAACAATTAAGAAACGTCTATTTAAGTATGCTTATAAGAGTACAATCTGTAGAGCATGACACGTTTATTCTACTCAATTTGCTGGTATTCTTCCACATGGAGAACTTCCCAGTCACTGTTCATATTTGACTGTTCCTCTATAACTGTGCTTTTTATATTGGTGCTCCTTAATGCCTTACCATCTTGAGTTTTGCAAAGGAGGCGGGGAGGACAGGATACAAATTAAATAAATAAATAAATAAAATTAACCATACTCTGACAGAATATGCAACTGTTGTCGTGGTAGTGTAGATACTCTGTAAAACATTACCTTCAAATATAATTACTTTTCTGAGTCTATAAATCTTTTAATTCTTCCTTTGCTCAAACTATAGATTATATGGAGAAATTACCTCTTTTATTAAAAGATAGGAGCAAACCTATCACTCTTTTAGCTGTGAAATGTTATGCGCTTGTGACATATTTTTGTGGCTGTTTAAATGTGGTCTACCTTTTTATATTTTAGTAATCTGCTTAGAACTAATGAGTTAAGAAGCAATATGAGATAGAGAGAAGTTTTATTTGAGTTTAGCTTGTGCTCTTATATTGGTGTTGTCTGGAATGGAATTTTAAGGGGAGAAATTATGAGTGTTAGGACATTTCACTTTATTTTCCCACAACTGGGAAAAGAATTCCTAGATACATGTCTGCAAACATTAGGAAAGCCCAACTGTCTGGGATCAGACCAAAGATCTGTCCAGTCCTGCTTGCTGTTTTTCACATTTTGCAACCAGGAGCCCCAAAACATGGGTACCAGCCCCT